TATGGGCATTCCAAGGCAAAGGTGTAGAGACTTTGAGGAGCGTGGTTTTTGCCTAAGAGGAGATATGTGCCCTCTGGAGCATGGAGTAAATCGCATCATTGTTGAAGATGTTCAGGTAGGCGTCTCAGCTGACAAATATTTGTATTTATCTTGTTCATTAAATTCTATGTCCTTAGGCACATTGATTCTGACTTTTTGTTTTCCAAATTGCAGAGCCTTTCTAAGTTTAATCTTCCTGTTTCACTTCCCGGTGCTCATATGCTGGGACCAGTTACTGCACAAGGATCTTTACCTGCAATAGGCCCCTCAAGCTCATTGGCTAATAAAGCTTTACATAACAAAAGTATCAACCCTCCAGTGATTGACAATGGATTAGGTTTGACTGATACTTTTGGTGGTGGTTCTGTGGCTGGGGGAGCTGATTTCTATGATCCTGATCAGCCTTTATGGTCAAATGATCATCCTGAAAATTCAGCAGCACTCTTGGATGTAAATCGGTCTAAAATTGATGATGCGGGGACGATGCTGGATGCAGACTCCTCTGATCAGGATCAGGTTGCGCTTTGTGATGGCTTTAAACTTAAGCGTCTAAATAGAGATGCTGGAGCAGCTTCAGGATCTCAAAGCATTCAGGGTGTAAACCGTCATGGTAAGCAAACAAATGTAGATACCATAGACCCGCAAATGATGGAATCATCTTCAGAGCCCCAAAGTAGTTCTGGACGCAATATGCGAAAACCATCTCAAAAGGCACTCCGTACTCTATTTGTAAGTGGGATTCCACAGAAAGACAACAAACCAGAAGCTCTTCTTTCACATTTTCAAAAATTCGGGGAGGTTATCGACATTTACATCCCGATGAATGGTGAACGAGCTTTTGTTCAATTTTCTAAGAGGGAAGAAGCTGAGGCTGCTTTAAAAGCACCAGATGCTGTGATGGGCAACCGCTTTATAAAGCTTTTCTGGGCAAACAGGGATCGCATTATGGATAATGGAGCAAGTGGTAGTAGTAATTTTCCATTAGCTCCCCGCGGTGGGACACGCAGTACGGTTCCACCCCATCTATTGGTTCCTCATAAAAGGAAAGACAATCTGCAGACTGTAGCCCGAAAAACTGCTGAACATGGTACTGTTGCTCCGTTAGCCACCTCTGATCTGCCCAAGCCCGTGGCTCAGAATGGTCTCAAAACTACACCACCTTTGAAGAAAAAACTGGAAACTTTAGAACTTCTGAAGGAAGAAATGCGCAAGAAGCAGGAGATGCTTGAGCAAAAGCGTAATGAGTTCCGACGCAAGTTGGATAAACTTGAGAAGCAAGTAATGTCCTCTTCTTAATATCAAAAAGAATAATTATAATTATTTAAGCTTATAATCTCGCAACGGCTGCTGCTTTACTTTTTATGCTCGTCTTGTGAACTTAAAAATATACCATTATATGCTATTCTCAGCCGCATTTTTGCTGGTGTTGTCTGATTAGGTTCCTCATTGTTAACTTAGATGAGAAGCGGAAATATTTGGGGATCAATTTGGCTGCAGAATTTCGCTGCTATTTATCTTCCAAAAAAGTAATTGCTTGTGTAACTTCAAATTTCTTATATCTGCGGTAGTTTATTTGTTTAAGAGGCTGCACAAGCACTAAGTGTTGCCATTTAGTAGAATTAGTAAAATTCTTTCAACCTTTCGGTATATATAGATGCAATACACATCTCACTTTTGATGACAAAAATAAAGGGGGAAATGATTTGATGGCGGCCGCCACCCTGCGGCATATGATATTTGGGATGAAGTTCTTAGATTGTTGAAGAATAGAAAAGAAATTGCAGGTAACATCTTAAATAATGCCTTGGATAACATCTTTCAATAATCTAGCTACAGATTCCTTTTGGAGTTAAAAGTTGTAGTTTTGTATAGATAGAGTTAGAGCCGTTTAAACACTTGAGGATCAACGTTACGTACGGTAAAGAATAAACTACGCAAATCAAGTGATTCATACTGAAACTTAAGATTTGTATTTCTATTCTACATGTGCTTAAATGATTTAAATACTTAATTGGATTTAATTTTGGCTGATTGATATATTTTAATTCATAACAGTAAGTTGATTATTCAATTAAACTACGGTTTGCCAATTATTCATAAGTAAAAGTGACAATTTAATTTTTGAAAAGACAAACAATATTGAAAAAGTTACAATCAGGTAATATATTTCGTTTACTATGAGTACATGGGTGATGGATCTTTTTGTCGTGGCATTTTTGGCATTGTTTCTTTTACATAAACTTTGCTCATTTAGTCAACATCATGTATATGAGGAGGTTTTACTCGGTAATAGAGTTACTCTGTGCCTAAAGTTAATCGTTTGTTTGCAAAGTTTGTTGTCTGCTTGGAACAAACTTTCAGATATTGGTGTTTGTTTAGAATGAACTTTCGTGTTTATCCCAAGAAAATTCAACTTTATCCCCTTAAAAATTAAGGATATCTTTTCAAATTTGTCTGCAAATAATACTTTATGATAATGATAAATAACGCATAGAGTCAAACAATTTTTGATTACAACATGTTTTGTTACATGACCAGTATGTTTGTACCTCATAAAATCAAAATAAGTAAAAGAAATCACATGTTTGAATGAAACTTATACTTTATAGTCTTCATGTATAATTATTTATTAAAACCTTTTATTTTAATACATGACTCGACATACACGTGCAGCGCATGTGCCAAGAAACTAGTATTCTCAAAATAAGGGAGGAGAGAACGTATAATTTTATATTTTTCCTCATTGAGGTAATCTGCTAAATCGATAGAACTGTAGTTAATATCTTGAGAAGAAAAAGAGAAGAAAAAAAAAGACGTGTACAACTCAACGCGCGTGACTGGTTTACCTCCCAGTGTATGGCGATACAACTTCATTGATCTGTTCTTTTTTTTTCTTTCCTTTTTTGGTTAATATTGGTCCGAAATGAGTTTAAATGGAGCTACACAGTCCGTGAAGATTCATATAGTCAGATCCCAACTTGCTTTGGATTCCCTTAGTAGTTGTTGTAAATATAACTTCTTTATTGTAAAAGCAACTGGCAATTGAAACCCCCTTTTCTTCTGCGTCCTTTGTTATGCAGGCTGTGGGTGTGAAAGATGAAGCAGCGCCAGATCAGGCTATGAACAAACCAAAGGGAGGAGGAACAGTTTCCAACTCTGGTAAAGTGGAAAATTCAATCCCCGTAGAACCTAGTAACACTGTGTCATCACCACCATCTGAAGCAACACCAGATAGTAGCAGATCTACAGAGAATGCCGAACCCAATTGTTCAAAATCATCTTCGACTGTTGCAACGCATGACGCTTCAAACTTGAAGCAGTCAATTCGTCCATTGGCACCGGTGGGCGCACCTTTTATCTTAAATAGATACAAACTAGATAACCGCCCCACCGCATTCAAGCTCCTTCCACCTCTACCAAGTGCTCTGGCAAACGTAATCTCTCTAACTCACTTCAGATAATTGCTATTTGTAAGAGATTCTTTCACAAGAGAAAAAGAATGCGGATATTTCTTTCTTCGTTTTCCTTATGCTGTTATGCTTTTTCCCTGACATGTTCTTTCCCGTTTTAAACTTGAAATTTGTAATATCAGCAAGAGTTTATTCATTCCACACATTTATGTTTTTGCTGACTCTTCCAAAGCAAAGCTGTAAGGGTGTAAAACTATGCATGTCTCTGCTATAACCTTGTGCTTCTTGGAATGAGGTGTGTTCGGTTGATGGTTTTCAATCTTTAAAAATTAATAGTTTTAATTTGTTTTTAATGTACTCATAACTTACATGACTAAAGCAAGAGCACATGGGGCTACTGTTTGTTCACATATTTTCACATCTTTGTTTTTCTGGTAATTGGATGTGTTTTATCCCCTTTGTCTAGTACATGGTTCAAGGATAATTTGTAGATTCATTTGCTCTGGTTCCTGTATTCTCATTTATATATTGTAAATAATTTTCTATTTTTAGGTTGACGTCCTGAAGGAGCACTTTTCTACTTTTGGTGATCCTCCTTCTGTTGAGCTGGAAGATTTGGAACCTCAAGATTGTAATAATGGCACAGAGGTGCAAAATACATCTGCTAAGATATCTTTCCGATCACGTCGTTCTGCTGAAAGAGCATTTCAGAATGGTAAATCCTGGCAAGGCCAAATTCTGCATCTTATGTGGGTGCAATCCAGTAATCCTGCAAAGGATGTTGGTGTTGGAGAAAATGTCACTCCAGCTTCAAAGCAGCCTTCAGATGCTAATGGGCAATCCAATGCAAAAATTGGTGTGGCAGGTCTACCGGAAGGAAGTGTGGCAGGGAACCATGAACCTGACAATCAAGGAAGAAGAGAAGATGAATGAGATTCTGCGTCTGGTTAACAGTTAGCTCAATGTGATTGATCATGATGATGGCCTGATTTTCGGAGTTGTACAGCGAGATAAGTTTTTAAATCATTTATATGTAATTTTAGGAGTTATTAGTGATCAACAGATTTCAGTTTCAATTTTGCTTTCACATTCTCTGCAAATGTAAAGAAGAGTTTTTTGATTCTAAACCAGCAGTCCTGTTGGTAAGCTGTACTGAATTCTCTTTAGTAACTGGATGCTCAGACAGAGTCTAGGATTTACTACAGTTCTTACAAGAAAAGAAAAACAGAATTATGAAGATGAGATAGTGCCAGTCATTTTTGGCCTTTTATTTATTTCAAGTGACTTCCCACTGCAGCTTTCTATCAGGAATTTGGGTTTCTATGGCCCTATCCATGAGTGCTTACATTTTACACTAACTAGTTTGCAAATGTATGAGTTGAGTTATTCAAATGGAAAAGTTATAAGTTCCTTTACCGAATTGGCTTGGGTTATAAATTTAAGTGGCCAGAAGGCTGTTCTGCCAATTATCATTTATTTTAAAATTATTTGGAGTATTGTTTATTATCATTGTCATTTTTAGAAAGTCTAGGGAGTTAAACTGAATAAGCATTTATTTATTTTCAAGCCATTTCTCATCCTTTACGGCGCTCAAACCCAAAACGTCCTCACAATTCTGAGAAAACGACAAGAATAGTTCCTTATATTTGGGAGTAGGTTTATGATGATCCTTTAAATATGCCCCAACCTGTTTTAGTCCTTTAAGTTTGACAAAACTTAACAGTTTTGGTCCACATCTATTTTTTAAAGTTAAATTTAACAGTCCCACCACATGAGCCTCACGTGAGCCTCAAAATTAAGAGAATCCGGCCCTCCCCCAATTTTTTCACTCTCCTCACTTTCTTTTCCCCATATCTCTCTTACTAGCTTAGGTGTAAAAACAAAATGGTCTGCATCTTCCTCTGATAACAAATGTCTGAATGCATGTTGTTAAAGCATCTTCTCTTTCGTTAAAATGCACGGGTTTAAATATTTGAATTTATGGTCTACTAGAGCCATCTCAGAACTTATTGTAACAGAGGAAAATAAGAATACATTTCAACCAGTAAAATCTGTGATATTTACTTGAACAGAAAGTTTTCTCCTTGATAGTGCGCTCAATAACCCAATCTAGCAACAATGACCACATATTTCTGTCACCAATAATATCAATTTGATAGAGTTTATTAAACCAACCAGTTTTAATGGTTTGCATCCCTTTTTAAAGGTGAAAATTACAGTTTTTTAAACTTAGTTTTTTTTATGAGTGCCCTTCCTATATGCATCTCTCATACTTTGTCATGTGAGCCTAATTGCCTTTGTCTTTTTTGTTACAGCTAAGCTTTCAAGAGGGATGTGGGCGAAAAGAAGTGGGGAGAACTGTTAAAGTTAACTTTTAAAAAATGGATGGCTAAAACTGATAGAAACATTTTTAAAGGACCATCATAAACCTACACCCAAAAATAAGGGACCATTTTTGTCATTTTCTCTCACAGTTCTATCCAAAAAGAACTTCGTTATCTTCTTTTGCCATTTTACGAGTGTTATCGTCTCGCGTGAAATGGCGGCATCTTCTCCTCTGCTTTTGCACTCCTCGGCCTCCTCTTTCCACAGCGAATTTCCGGCCCATTCCATTCGATTACCGGCCGTAAATGCCAAGGTTTTAGCCCTGCCCAATAAATTGACAGTGAAAGCCTCATCAGGGATAGTATTGGTGGATAAAAGTGAAGCTGAAAAGGTTAATCGCCTGAAAACAAATTACCTCGAAAAGATTGTTCCCATGTTGAAGGACGAATTCAATTACACCAATATTCACCAGGTATACTTACTTCTTAGTCTTCTAATCTTACTCTGTTTTATTTTTCTTTATGATTGAATTTTAGAGTTGAAATACTGAGAAATAATTTGTTCTAGTTTATTCGGCACTAATATCATTTGGTGAGTAAAATATTTAAGTGCTTTGACTTGGCACAATTCGTTAGTGTTACTTTGATATGGTATGTGGAATAATGGACTTGTAGGTTCCGAAGATTGAAAAGATTGTGGTAAATTGTGGTATTGGAGATGCTGCACAAAATTCAAAGGGTTTGGATGCCGCAATGAATGATTTGGCACTAATTACTGGGCAAAGGCCAGTGAAGACGAGGGCTAAGAATGCTATTGCTACTTTCAAAATTAGAGAAGGTCAACCGCTTGGAATCGCTGTTACACTTCGAGGAAATGTATGTTGGCCTTTCTATTCTGCTTTTTAGCATTGCAATTTTTTTGTTTTTTGATATTCCTTCTTTTAGCTAAAATTCACTTGCAATTCCATTTGGTCTATATGCTGTTATGTGATTTATATCTGGGTAGTTAGTGGACGAACATCCGTAATGTAATTATTTTACCAAAACATGTTAAATAGGGAATTTAGGAGCAAGACTTGATGTTTTAGGGTAAAGCCTTCTAAGATAAAGGGAAAGCAAGAAATAAGTCGTACCTTTCAAATTTTGATCTATATTTTGTATGTTAAGTTTAATTTGGTCCATAACTTTTGATCTATTTCAATTTTATCCTAAATAAATATGATTTGTCACAGAGTAGTCCTAAGCCATCATCAGCTAATTCCAGGTTAAACCTGGTTAGCATTGGCTAAACAATAGTGTATAATGTGGAATGGGACTAGGCAACAAAAGAGAAGGACTAAATGAAAAGAAGATGCTTTTCTTGGTCCGCCACACTATCAGACCTTTTGATTCTTGCTCCACAAACTGAAACTGAAGCAGCAAAAAATACTTATTTTCACCCTAAAGCTAATTGATGCTCTTATGTGCTCCAATAAGGAATTGCAAATTGGAGGAACATTCATTGTGTTGAAACTTGTGAATCTGCTTCCATTTCTTCACACTCCAGGCATGTAGCGGCTGGCCTGTTAATGGCCGGTGGTGATATCTCTTCATTTAGTCATTATTCTTCCATTGCCTGCCATCTTCTTTTGCCAACCCTCATCTGGGCCAAACCCTTTCACGCCACATTTGCAGATTGGACATAACGCAGCAGGCTCTTGATTTCAAGGCTAACAAGTTGGGTTTCTTTTAGCAGGAAGAGATTTAGAAATACTGCTGTGTAGAAGACTTAGTTGCAGAGCCATAGATGCAGGAGTAAGAGGAATAACGTGAGGGGAAAGTTTAGTGGAAGAGGGACTTGCTAAAACAATCTTGTTAGGTAAGCAGAGTTTCAGAGAAGATGGAAAATAGTTGGCAGAAAAAGCAGATAAGGAATGGGTGAGATAACAAATAAATATTAAATCTCAATGAAATCGTTATTCGGAAATTGCTAAAACTTTAAGGTTTCATGACTCGTGTGGGAGTAAACTGGGAGACATAGTGAACACTAACTAGTTAACATTTGGAGACCAAGCTAAACCTTTAACTTGGAAATCATGCCGCTCATGCTGCCTTATAGTTGCTGCCAGTTGTGCATGGTGGCCAAGCTTTGAGTGGTTGTCAGAATTTCTTGTTGTTCAAGTTTTCGTGAGCTGCCAGCTGCAATAAAATGCCACTATACTACAAATGCAATCCCTAAAAAGATCCAAAAACAGAAAACAATAAAAGTAATGACCACTAAAAAGAAGGTAAAGAATTTTTTCCGGGAAAATAAAATAATCTTAAGTAATTTCTCTTGCACTTGTCAACTGTTGTTGCAATATGTTTTACATCAGGACAAATGGATAGTATGTGAAGAGAGGGTGCTAAGGTTATGGGAAATTTCCATTAGCTTGTTTTTTCGGGGGTGGGAAGGTGGGGCTGCGGTTGAGTGAGGATAGAGATGGAATGTGGGATGGGTAAGGGTGCTGGCGATAGTGGAAATAGAGATGGGTAAGTATTTCGAGTAGATTGGAATTGATGGCTTCTCCCTTTTGCTGTACTGGGCTTGAGGACTAGTCATATTCGTTTAAGATGATCTTAGGACAGATGAAATATTAGGCACCCAGTCAAATTTTAAGCTTTACAACGGTGACCTTAAGTACCCTTGATTATGTTGGACTTTTTGCACAAATAGAAGAGTTTAAAGATATAGGAATCATCTGTCAGTGTCAACCTCATGGGGAACTGTTTCGTACTTATATTAGCCTCTGACGTTTTTTATGCTAGCTATAGACCCTAGTCAGTATTGTGCTTGAAAGATCTTTGTGCATGCAAAACATTTGCATGATGTTTGGGGTATTTTAGCAGTTTCTAAAAAACGTTTGCAGTAACTGTTTCTGCAAAAAGTGTTTGTTTGGTGACAAATTTGCAAAAAAAGTTCACTTTTTTCGTTTTTGGATATTTGATTTCCAAAAAGTTTTTGCAATAAAATTTTCCAATTAAAAATAACCCCCCCTTGAATTTATTTTCTTTTGCAAAATCTCGCATAAACACCACCTTGATCTTGATTACAGAAAAACTAATTTGTTGAAGTGACTTCAGCAAAACTTGAATTGCAATGATCAATAGCTGAAGAGAAATTCACATGGTCTGAACTTGGACAATCCATTTGCTGCTCTACCATCATATGTTATTTGCTTTTGTGCTGCAAACTCACATCTACTTCTTCTTGATAGGTGATGTTTTCTTTCCTTGACCGGTTAATTAATCTTGGGCTTCCTCGAACGAGGGACTTTCAAGGTGTAAACCCCAATAGCTTTGATGGTCATGGAAATTATAGCATTGGCTTTCGTGAACAGAGTGTCTTTCCAGAGCTAAGTTATGATGCTCTTGGTAAGCCAAGAGGAATGGATGTTTGCATAACAACAACAGCTGAGACAGATAAAGAGGCACATAGATTACTGGCCCTCATGGGTATGCCATTTAGAGAAGGTGCTGTTGGGCAGACAAATGTTATGCGAAAGAAAAAGCTTAGAGCTCACCATTTTGACTCAAAGGCAAAGCAAAGGTCTAGGAGATGAGGTTGATCTAATTTCCAGGGATAATTGAGTTGATTTGTTGCATTTTTTGCTCTTCCAGCATGGTTTTCGATTTTTTTAGCGTACAATTGGAATGGAAAAATCTGTACTTGCACATTTACTATCATGTTGGTGATATCTTGAAGATACATGATTTATGTTTTTCTCTTCATATTCCCACATCTTTTATGTGATTTCAGCCCTGCAGGTCACTGGTAGATGACTCCAATCCCATTGCTTCTAGTAATTCTTTTTTGTTATCAATTTTGAAATGTTACGGTAACTTTTGAATAACTAATTGAGTTAGGTTTTAACTAATTTAACTCAAAATTTTGCACTGTTTCATTTTCTTACTCTTCTCATGATGGATTGTACTTAAATACTAGTTCCTACTATTCAGAAGCGGGAGTAAGCAGGACTTCGTCGTCTTGCTGCGGCTCAAAAGGTCAGTTTTACCCCTCTGTTTATTTTACATTATTTCCTAGCTGAACGTAAATTGGGCCACTTTAGAGTCCTTTTAGGTAATGAAAAAGTGCTGTTTGCCTTTTGCAATTCCTCTGTCTTCTTTCAGTCTCTCTGGGTCCTTCGATTTTTCTCGGCTTTCTTTGTTTCTGCTTATGAAATTATTTTATCGTGGTCCGAACACCAGTGGCGATGTAACGAGTACAGACATACAGTGGTACTTCGCGGGAAGCCCATGTTTGTTTTTTCCGGTGACGGTCACCCATGTGGAAGATAAATGTCTACTATCTATAAAAGACTGGAACTTATAAGAAGACCGTCGAGTTTGACAGAGGGGGCTATTAAACTATTGTGGTCGATTTTGACGATAATTTGATTTTTTTCAACGAAGAAAAATGATACAGTTTGAGTATCTTCTTAGCTTTCAGATGCCCTTTTTTGGTTTTAGAGTTTTAAAAAAGTATGCTAGAGACTAAGGTAAGGTGCACTGAGTGTACTTATGTCTGTTGTTTGTATTTTTTTTCCCAGGTGATTTATGAGAGTACTTCTGTCTTTTGCTTGTATTTGTTTCCCAGGTGGCTTATAGTATCTTTCTGCACTTAGGATTGCCTTGAAATGTTATAAAGAGTTACTTTTTAAAAAAAGTCTTTGTTATTGTTCCAGAAGAAATGAAAGAAAAGATATGGTAGAGCTAGGACAGTTATTGAATGAGGTCTACCCAATGCTAGATGTAGAGGCGCGTAATATCGATTTGAACATCATGATCTGGGTAAATTTCAGTTTCAATTTTGCTTTCACATTATCTGCAAATGTAAAGAGGAATTTTTTGATTGTAAACCAGCAGTCCTGTTGGTTAAGCTGTACTGAATTCTATTAGAGTAACTGGATGCTAAGACAGAGTCTAGGACTTACTACAGCTCTGAAAAAGAAAAAAAAGGAAACAGAACTATGCAGATGAGATAGTGCTAGTCATTTTTGGCGTTTTATTTATTTCAAGTGACTTCCCACTCTTACGTTGCCATTGCAGCTTTACCAGAATTTGGGTTCCTATGGCCTTTTCCATGAATGCTTACATTTTTTTTCCATGTCTCTAAGCCTTTGATTGCGTACAGAACATAGTTAGTAAAAAAAAAAAAGGGTTTCATATTAGTCATAATTGACGTGAGACCTTTTCTAATGCTTACATTTTCTTGTTTGATGGAACATTTTATCTACAAACTGTGAAAAAAGATATACGAAGCTATGTCAGTTGCAGAAGGTTGATCTAGTGCCTCCTTGTATATTGGGTAATTACATATAGTATTATATCACCATTCATGCCGACTGAAGTTGTGCATTGAGCTTTCTTTTGTATATATTTGATAATTAGTAGCTGGCATCTATCACCGGAAACAGTTTCTCTACTCCTCCGGAGTAGGGGTAAGGTCTGCGTACACACTACCCTCCCCAGACCTCACATGTGGGATCTCACTGGGTGGTTGTTGTAGTAGCTGGCATCTATCAGCCTCTCTATTATTATTTTTGTGAACTACTACTACTTAAGATTCTCATTTTGTATTCACAAAAGACAGAAAGAGGAAAGGCATGTTTGGCTATTCTGGTCGAGTGTTAACCATGACAACTGAATTCGCCAAACCTGCTAGACGTGATAAAATTGGAGAGCTTGTTAAAATTGGATTGAGGCGATAAAGGGGCTCAATCTGTTGAACCCATTAGATGTTTATCCCCACCTAACTTCACCGACGATGATTATGTGATTAGTTTCCGATATGATAGGAGGATCATATCGTGTCAATATCCCAGACCTTGAGATATCATTTAAGTCAATCGAAACATATTTGTTGAGAGAACTGTTGGAAAATAAATGTAAGGAGATACGAAGCATTTTCTTGCTTGTTTGGAAGGATAAGAAACAGCTAAAAAATTCATTTCTTGTAATAAAGCTTTCAAACGCTTTTTCACAACTTCTCCATGTATTGAACGCACAAATAGCGCATGGAATATTACTGTTCAATTCATTACATCATCCGAGAGTAGTTGCATACATCCATAAATATTGTTTTCCATCTAAGCAGCAATTTCCATGCAAAAGAACGGGCGGGTATGGGCAGTTCTAATGTTTGAGCCGATTGGTCAGACAATGACTATACCTCACTTACTATTTTAGCATTAGCCGCCTATTCTGGAATATTCATGACAGTGCAAACTGAGGTTCAGAGACGCATACTGCTTTGCCGTCCATTGAAATGAATTAGTCAAGGGCTCAAAGCAGAGGTAGACTCTTCACATAGCAATTTAACCTTGCGTGTAACTCATGGGCATCAATATTTGACGGTACCGCCATGTTGGCAAGTTGAAGCTGCTTCTCTAGAGGCAGGTGGTCTTTCAAAGAGACACACGCTTGATGCATCACTAGTAGGAGAAAGCAGGCTAAATCATTTTCACTCGTGTCAATGGGCTGTGTATAAAGCAAATAATCACCACCACCTTTTAATTGTTTGTTCCACTTATATATCCGCTCTGTCGACTTCCACAAACAAGAAACAACAGCATCTGCTACTACCATCCACGTGCTATCAGAGAGGAGGGATGTGAGCGTGACTGGCAGGTCGCTCAAAACAGTGAATCTGTCCGCAATTAACACAGGCCTATATACGCAGCAGCTGCCACATAGCAGGCCGATGAACTGCAGAGCCTATAGAAAAGCAGGGAAGAAGCAATCATTAGCTATGCACACATAGAAACTAACAGCTTCTACTACATCAAGAACAGGAACGGTAGAAACAGTTCTGGCATAGAAAACGGATTATGGAAGTAACTTGAGTAGGGATACCTAATCTCAGAGTTGAACCTGATCTAGGAGAATGTAACATGATGCAGAGATTCTGAAAGAGGCAAAGGCCTGGAAATATAGCCCAAGTCTACCTCAACAAATTAATATTATAGCTCCAAATGGCATTTCTAATGTTGGGATCTGACCATGCCTATAAATTGATCTACAACAAGGAGTCCCCTTACAGATATTTTGGCTCACAGTAGAGCCTATGCTCACCAAAAACCACCAATTACCAAGACATTGTTCACGGACATTCCTTTCTTTTTTCTTTTTTGGAGAAGGGAAAAATGCAGCATGGATATGCATACAACATGGAAGAAAGTTGAGCCAATATTATGCATGAATATGAAGCAAATCATCTTACCGTGGAGGGAAATCTTGTCACACAACTAATTTCCAGTGCCTCAATGAGCCATTGTCTTTTGGCATTCCCTTCAGCATGTTGTACAGTTATTGAAACTCCAGTTAGAGCATCCCAGATATCTGTGCAGAAAGCTTGGAGCACTTAGAGACTACACAAAGCAGTTAGCATAATGCGCTTAACATGTTGATAAATGAAAGTCCTAAGAATACAATTTGCTAATTATTACACATATCATCTTCAAAAGTCTTAATAGAGTCTAACCTTGAGATCTGCAGTCCAAAAGATAAGTTTTCAGTTTTGTAAGCACTGTCAATGGCAGGGAACCACTTTGAACTAGTCTTGCTTTTGCTTGAACCTTTCTAACAGTTTCAAACGAGAGAGAGTCTGTGTCGGCGACGTTCACCTCTGAAACCTACATGGAGCAGAGAAACATATAGGTAATGAACTAGCACAATTCTATAACAATTTTTAAAGGAAAAAATAAAGTACAATTTTGTAACTAACAAGTGATATACCAATGTAATTGGCACGCTTAAGTAATCAACTAATGTAAAATGTCTATCATCCACGAGTAGCTCAGAGTGAATTATCTCTTAAATAGAATGGTGACTAATAATACTTGATCACCAAGTACTTCCCTAAAGAAGATATACAAACAGGTCCAACAATTATTATTCAATATCAGATTTTCAATGATGCCATTTTCAGTTCAGTGAACTACTAAAAATCCCTGGGCAACCCAAAATCTCTTCCAAGAGAATGATATATGAAAAAGAGAAGGATGGAGGAGAAGATGCTATTCCACACCTTTAGAAGATCCAATAGCCATTCTTGTTGAGCCTTCTCGAGACATCTAATTGCTTCACACCATTCTTCAAGAATTTTACCCTGACATAGCCCTTCAGTATGAGCTGAAGGCAGTGACGTAAAGAGCAACTCCATGCATTTTTCCATGCTAGATTTATACTCTTGAGGATGATGAGAAGATTCATCCAAACACAGCTTAAGTCCCCTCCAGCACGAAATCCTAAATGAGCTTTTCTCTAAGGAGTCACAACTCTCAGAACAAGTAGACGTTGACAATAAGTTAGCAACGTCTTCAAATAATTTCACGACCCGAGAACCTGAGAAAATCTTAAGTAGATCTGCCAAATGTGAAAGCACAAAGAATTGCAGACGAGGCTCAAGCATCCTCAACCGAGGGATGTCACATTGCTCATCAAGGAAGCTAAGGAGAGGATCAAATTGCTTAGCATGTGATAACGAGAAAAGTAAGCATTCCCCCCTGAGATTTCCTCTCTCAAAACTTATGTCTTGCGTCAACAAGCCAGCAACTTGACCCTCATATCTCATGCACCGTCTGATGATTGCTCCCCAATCCAATGGTGGTAGCCTAGAAGCATGTGAAAGACACCGCAGAACACTAGAAACTGTGTTTACATGTGAAACAGCATCTGTCTAATCTCAAACAGAAGAGGAGAAAAAGGTCAATGACATAGCCACTTTCTGTTA